GGTGGCACTCTACCTCACATCAATGTGCATTTAGGAACCATTTGGCCAAGGTTAGGTCAAGTCATTCTGGGGCAGGTGTTTGAATTAACGCTGGAAAGGAAGTTCCCCTTTGAACTCATTTCCTTTGCCATCCTAAGGCTTATCATTTCTCCGGGAAATTCCCTTAGGATTATCCTTTCAACTGCAGGTTTTTGCTCTCATTGTTTTCCCCAAATAAAAGCAAGCTATTAAATCTGATTCTATGTGTTAGTGTGCCAGGGGGCAAAAAACTGAAGTCAACATTTCTGTGAGAGGGCTGAGGAACTATACAAAGATCTTATTTTTCCCTGAAACAAGAAATAGCTTAATAAAACTGTCGCCAAATTCCGCCCCCCACATAGTGGTTCTTCCATTTGGTTTTGAGGCGTCCTTTCTCGGTAGTAGAGTTGGGGTTTGCTTTTTTGTTTTTTTTTTTTGTTTGTTTGTTTTTTGTTTAAAAGACATATTAGAAGCAACAGTGCTTCAGTATTCTTGTCTCTGAAAAGTATAATCTGGGCACACAGAGCTCAAACTTGGACCTGTTGTTAGTTGTTCAAGCTTTGAAAATCTGAGGAGGAAGAATTATTTTACAAGTTGTTCTGATGCAGCAAACTGAGATTATACAGGCTATTGCGTGTTTTTGCTGGAGAAGAGTCTAGGAGAGTCTCGCGAATTCCAGCTGTGACGATCTTCTCTTCATTCATAATATATGGCCACACATGCTGCTTTCTCTTACTTTTTTAGCATTTGATAACACAGATGATTACATTTCACCTTAGAAAAGGTAATAAAGTTGCTCCTTAAAAACAAAAAAACAACAGAGGGACTCGATCATATCTCACAGGGTCTGTACCTCATTTCCTGCTGCGTGCACCCCTCCACACCCGGTACCCCACACGCCCTTCTGCCTGTGGCATGTTCCAGCTGCCCTCATGTAGTGGGCATAGCGTAGCCAGTCTCCTTGTGACCCCTGGTCGGTGAAGTGCTCTGCTGTGAAGCTCAGGTTCTGAAGACATGGAAGATGCCAGAATCAGAGCACTGAGAAGGTGCTCGTGTCCAGCTTTTACATTTTGACGGTGCGGTGCTTGATGGATGGTTCCTGGGAATTTTGCACGAGGAAGAACAATGTTTGTGAAAAGCTCAGGTCAGCTGACAGACAGGAGTCCTGCAGGTCTCAGGTGCTGGGAGCCAGGAGATCAGCCTCCAGCGTCAGCTCACAGACTGGCTCCCGGCCTCCAACTCCTCACCATGGCTTGCCTCAAAGAGGCTGTCTCAGGGCAGACTAAAAGGAGATGAAAAGGGAAAGAGAAATCTCCCAGAAATACAGGAAGAAACTGAAAGCTGGGTAAGAGGAAGCCCAACAAGTGAACCCGGGCTGTGAGGATGGTTGTTTGTGAGACTCGACGTCGTGCCATGTGGGTTCAGGATCTGCACACCGCCATGCACACCAAGGGCTCCCCACTATCTTCAAGGGAACACATGCTCCCGCTGCTCTCTGGGGATCCTCTCCTGGTCCTGTGGGTTCAGGGAAGACTCCTTTGGGAAGATGCTCCCACTGGCACCGGAGGAGGGGGCTAAGACAGCGAGAAGCACTCTGGAGATGGAGGGTTGAGGCTGGGCTTTTCTTTTAAGGTGACTGGTCATTCAAGTTTAGGAAACGAGGCCTGAGGGTGGTCTGGATAACTGGCTGCAAATTGCCACGGGGCTCTTCTCGCCTGAAGCTCCCTGACACTGCTCTCAGCTAGTCAGTGACAGATGTTTGCCTCTCTTTCCACATGGGGTCAGAATAAAAAGAAACAAGTGTGGAATAAAATACCACCTTTCTAAAAAGTCACTGGGACCAGGGGCAGGTTTGGAAATACACGCCCTTTCAGAATGCTGCTCCCGTTTGCTGAGGAAGGCAAATCAAAGAGAAGACCCGAATGCACCGGAATTGGGAACGGTAGGAAGGCAATTTCTGCCAAACAAGAAAAACTGCTGTTTATTCCACTCTCACCCAATAGAACTTGGCAATGTGAAGTGTCCTCTGTTCCCAACTCCTCTGGCCCAGGCAAGGACTTCTAATCCCAGGCAGAGCAAACTGAGCTGGTGCTAGTGCGTCAGGGGGACCCCCTGCCCAAAGCTCACCTTCCCTCCTTGCCAGCAGTCCAAGGCAGCAACCCCCTTCGAGGTGTGGGCCCCACCGGACCTCGCTTCAGCCTAGAACCTGGCCTAACACACCTCCTGGGCACCCGGGCAAAGCCAGGGCATTCTGTGCCTTTGCCCCGTGGTCAGAGGCCTCATTGAACGTAGTCTGTGGCTTATGCGCAAACCCACTCTAAACAAGCAGGCCAACCAGCGGTCCTCTGTTCTGAGGCAAACCAGGGCACTTCACCCCCCTACTTCTTGAAATCAGGATTCATTACTGTCTACAGCTAGAGGGACCTTCTTCTCCATATTGGATACTTAGACGTAAGCACAGCACGGCCTCTGAACAGTCAGATTTTTAGGTACAGCAACTCAGACGTCTGTAAATACCTGACCACATTTTTTCTCCATCTTCTCTAATACCCACTCCTCTCCTTTCTTTAATTAAAACTGGGAAACGAAGTTGGGCAAGAGGACAGAACATTCCAAACCTACTTGGCTGCCAAGAAAAAACGAGCTAGCGGCCAGGTGAACATGCTTCCTTATAGTCTATTTGGGATGTGTACATTGTAGTAGTTTTTTTTATAAGCAAACTCATTTTCTTGGAGCTCATCTTGCCATTTTCTCTGTTTGATATTCTGCCAAATTTTAAGACATTGTGAAAATACTTCACTCAGAAATCCAGAAGTTCCTGAAAGATAAAAAGGAAGAGAAAGCCCAACGGTGGCCAAGGGGCGCTAGCACTCACAACCTGGATCTCGGTGGTCTACAGGGGAGCAGGAGCCTCTCAAAATGGTATTTGGAAGAGGAGGTAGGGAGAAAGCAGGAAAGGAGTCAAGATAACAAAAACATCCTTTCCTCAGGGGTGTTCCTCCCCCTCCCGCTTCACTGACTTAGCTGAAGGCAAGCACGCTCTTCCTTTGGCACTGAGATGTTGGGGGTGCACTAAGGATAAAAGTCTCCAGGGGGCCCCAAGTCTCTGGTTTCAGTTCTTTTCGGGTAGTCGTCTCCAGAGCCGAAGTCCATTGTCTCGGGGTAGCCGGCGAACTCCTGAGGTAGCGGGAACTCCTCCGCCACCGAGTGCGTCCGGTGCCCGAACACCTTCTCCTGCAGCTCCGCGATGTCGTTGCGGATGTCCGCCAGCATCAGCAGCAGGAAGTCGAAGGAACCGGGAGGCCCCTGCACACACACGGGAGGGATCAAAGCCAGAACACGACACACGCAGCCGCTGCAATGTGTGGCTCCCCGGCCGCTGCTGGTGGGCAAGGCCTGGTGGGTGACTCTGGACCGGATGCAGCGAGAGGGCCCCGCCACCGCAGTTGGGGGTCCCTGGTATATGGTGTGGGGGTCTCTGGTATATGGCCTCCTAATGCCTTCAGTTCCTTAATGGGTGTTCCTGACACAGTCACTGCTCCCTGCTGCTCACTCCCAGCTGCAGCAAATCTATTAGAATGCAAGAGTCGGTCACGCTCAGGGTGACCTTCCAAACAACTCTGGCAGAGCTTATGTGGACACAGAGGGGCGGTGAAGAGGTTCTGCGCCCCTTCAATCTAGCTCAGCTGCTACGAACTGTGTGGCTTTCGGTGTAACTCACATTCTTTGGGTTTCTGTATCTTCATTCATAAAATGGGGCTATGGGCTCCTAGGTGAGGATTTAAGCCACACCTTAAGCATAACAGATGCTTAAATAGTGGTCTTTTTTAAGATGGAATGGTTAAAGGATACTTGGTTTCATCTGCATCCTAAATGAAGCTGAAGGTATACTGTCGTCAACTCTTCTCATTGACCAAGAAAGGTTTCAACAAAGGTTTCCTATTTTTTTTGAATGACGGGAACACCTTTTATCATTATATGGTACTGACGAAGCCTAAATTTCTGCATGATGCTTTGTGGCGCATGGGGAAGAAAATGTGCAGTTTCTGGGAAGGCTGTTAGTGTGTGTCCAACCTTCATTCTCTCGCCCTGGGGCCTCAGCCGCTGTGGCTCCTGCTTCAGACCAGCAGCCCAGCTCTGCAAAGCACTGAGCGATGGGCGGTACCTGATATCACATGATGCTCACGAGGCCCAGGTGAGGTGTGGGGCTCAGATTCCCCTGGGCGTTGCACAGGTCAGGGAATGGAGAGCCAGGCACGGATGACAGGTGGGAGTGCTGAGGTGGGAACCCAGACCGCTCTGCCTCTAAGACCACCTCTAAGACCTCACCTCTCTGACTCCCTAGTGCTCTGACATCTTCATCAGCGGTGATGGTCTCGAGCTTCCAACCCTGCTGGCTTCATGTGTCACCTCCCGGACACTGTGCACGCACCAGCTGCCTTCTCGGCGGCCCATGCAGCCTGGCACTTCTGGGGGGCCCTACCTCTGACTGACTCACTTCTTGGGCACTCAGGGTCGTGAGCTAACACCATCCAGTCCATTCTAGTTTCTTCAAATGTTTGTTTACCGGGAAACACTCATAGCATACTGGGGCTTTGAATCCCAAGAGGAGACCTTCCAAGTAAGGATTAACCATGAGCACAGAAAAAGAAATAGAAAATAAGTTTTCAAAAGGAACCCCAAGCAGTTGCTCTAGGCTGCTCTCCCACCACGGGGTTCTGTTCCGGTGGGCTGAGCTGTGGTAAATGGGCCGACTTGGGCTCAGGCCACCGTGTGGGGTACCGGAGCTCCCCACCCCAAAACCCTCCCTCTGAGGAGGAAGGTAGTGAGTGCTACTTACTGGAGACCCTCTGGGGCCAGGTGCTCCTCTCTCCCCCTAAAAGCAGAAAGTCAGGGTTAGCTTTCTGGGCCAAGGTGATGCTGCTGCTATGGTTGCTGCCTCCCTGCACTCAACCACCAGGATTTTCTTTCAGAAACCCAGGTCACCTGGAAGCTGGGCTCAAGGCTGGAACATAACTGCCTGGGTAAGAGTCTTCTGTTTCTGGGTTATTTGCAACCCAGAGCTGGGGAGAGGAAAAGCCCCCCTTCCAGAACATGCAGAGTGACTAAGAAGCTTCCAGAAGTAACTCGCAGTGACTGCTCTACGAGCAAGTAGCAGGCGGCACACAAACGAAACCACCCATGGGCACAGAAGGGGCCTCTCCTGCATGTAACTGGGAGGTCACCGGAAGTGAGCTAGAAAAGACCCACCCAACAGCGCTCCTGGCTGAGGGGCCTTTGAAATGTCGGGGGGCACTCCTTCTCAGGAGTGGATTTGCTGCTGGTTTTGTTATGGTGGTTGTTTGATATCTTGAGAAAACAGGTTTTTAGGTGTGTACCCCGGCTTCGGGGGGAGGGGGAGCCGTGAGTCTGTGTTTCGAGTCGTCACATGCGAAACATGGCCAGTCATGGGAGTCCCCGCGTCCCTCGGCCCTCACAGCTGGAGACCCACTTACCTTAGAACCATCTCTGCCGGGGGCGCCCGGGGGGCCCTACGAGACAAAGGATCTAGTTTCACAGGAGGGAACGTGGTGCAAGAACACACGCTCCCCAGCGAGTGGGTTTCTGCAAAGATACTGACCACAGGCCCACGCCGGCCTTGCTTAATGTGGGACAGGTCAGGAGACGGCCCCATGGGCCCCATGGAGCCCCGCGGGCCGGGCTGCCCCGGGGGGCCCGGCATACCCGGGAAGCCAGGGCTCCCTTTGGGTCCTGGTGAGCCTGCAAGCAAAGGGCATGTCATTAGCTCCACACCTCACGGCAGGTGAATCAGGGCGCCCCGCCAGTCACCTGTCTGTGCACTGCTCTCCCCATCTGACAAGCCTGAGCTGCCCCGTAGGCCTCTTACACTTAACAAGAACAAATGGACGCTCCCCTGGGGAGCAGGGGAGACGAGGCTGGGTGTGGGATAAAGGGCTGGTGAAAGCCCAGGGGGGCTCATGGGGCCACTCAACCTTCGCCAATGTAAAGGTTAGAAGGTATTTTCGGACTCTCCCTGGTGGCACAACGGGTTAAAGCGACACATGAAACTCTCCAAAGCTACTGCAACACGAGTTCGAATCCTGGCCAGGCCAGGGAGTTGACTCACAGGGCGCAGCAGACCTCTCCTGACCCACCCGCTGCTCCCCTCAGCAGTGTACCTCAGTATATCTGCCTGTTCTGCTCCCCACTCTGTCTCTGGTGAATCCTCTCACCCACCACACCTCTGGCTTGGACCCCAGTTCAGTAAGCATAAATAAATAAATCTTTTAAAAAAAAGGCATTTTCTTCCCATTTCTCTGTAACCACAAATGATCTTGAAGACTCTTATCTAAGTCCAGGACAATCACCTTTTCGCTCCCAGTGACAGGTGGTCAGGAGGCTCTCTCAGGCTGGCGGGCCCATGGCCCTAGGCGCTCTCCCTGTGCAGGTGGGGGGGGGGGCTCCTGGACTCTAGCTCTGCTCTCACCTATCCCCCCAAACATGAGCTCTCCTCAGGCAGCCCGGGGTTCCTGGTACGTGTCTTCCCCTGCACTCACCGGGCGGACCTTGGCCCCCAGGCAGGCCAGGGGGTCCGGCCAGGTAGGTATTGGAGGCCAGCACCTTGTCGCCTGGGATGTATTTGCCCAGGTCCGCAGCACTGTTGGGGAGCAGGGCGATCTGCAAAGAGAAGAGGACATGCTGGACAGGAAGCAATGGTGCCCTGCCAGGGAGGGTCTTCACACCTGCCCTCTGCCGGGACTGCCAAGCCAAGCCTTTGCCAGTGTTTCCCTCTTGCCGAGTTGGAGCTTACAGGGACTGGCAGAATCCCACAGGCCTCATGGAAATGACCTGCAGGCATCACTCTGCTAGCTAGCGGGCAAACCTGGACCCATCATCATCGTAATTACCGGGTGAATTAGCTACCTGGTTAATTAGCTACCTGGTTCAGACTTCCAATTTGTTAATCACTTTGTGTCTCGGGCTTTGTTGAGCACCTGCTGCATACCAGCCCCTGGGCTGGTTTCCGAGGCAAAATAACAGCGACCAGGACCTAGTCACCTGTCCTTCCAGACCTCTCAGCTTTGTGGGCCAGGCAAGGATGTGGCTATGGTTCCTGGAGTGCTCGGGGCTGACCTTCAGCGTAACTGGGCTGTAGCGGTGTGGTGATTTAAAAATGCATCCACATGAAGATAAACACCATTAAGATCTCACTCCTCTGTGGAATGTGAAACACGAGAACAAAATAAAATCAAACTCCTAAACTGTAAGAACTCAATGGCAGCTACCAGAAAATAAGCAGGAGGGAGTGGGAAATCGGGAACAAGGGTCAATTGCACGGAAGGGAGGAAAACTAGAATTTGGGGCAACCCCAAGTTGCCACTGTGGGTTGACATCACTACTGGCTTAGTTTTCCAATAAGCAGTAAGTTAGGGCCGTCCCTGGTGGCACAAGAGATTAAAGCAGCCACTTCACCAGTTTGATCCCCAGCCAGGGAGGTGACCCACATGGCGCTGCAGACCTCTCCTGACCTGCCCGCTGCTCCCCTCAGCAGTGTACTTCGTCAATCTGATCTGCCTGTTCTGCTCCTCACTCTGTCTCTGGTGAAGCCTCTCACCGCCCCTGTACCTCTGGCCTGTACCCCAGTTCTGTATGCAGAAATAAGTAAATCTTAAAACAATAAAAGACAGTAAGTTAACTTAAGGTGGGGCTTACTGCCTCCTCAGCTGCACAGACACTGCCCCACAGAGAGAGCCTCCGCTGCTCCTTGGCAATGCTGCAGGAGGGGCTCTGTGTCAGGCTCGCAGAGGTGACAGGTGTACCACAGTGTTCAGCTGCTTTTGTGGAGCTTAAAACACAGCAGGGAGGTAATAAGTGAGCCAGCCTCTCACTTAGTAACTGCATTTCTGAACAACCTGTGAGATTTATCGGCATAGATCCTAAAGGCCATCCAGGCTAGAAAGACTTACCTCTAGCTCTTTTTTAAAAAAATTATTTAATTTAAAAAAATTATTTATTTATTTATGCATATAAGAACTGGGTACAGGACAGAGGTCAGAGGTGCAGGGCGGGGGTGGGGGAGGGGTGAGGAGATTCACCAGAGGCAGAGCAGGGAGCGTAACAGGCAAATCTACTGAGATGCCCTGCTGAGGGGAGCAGTGGGGAGACAGGAGAGGTCTGCTGAGCCATGTGGGTCAGCTCCCTGGCCGGGAATAGAACTCCTGCTGCAGTGGCTGTAGATAGCTTCATAGTGCTGTGCTTCAACCCTTTGCACCCAGGGAGGGCCCTCTGGCTCTTGAACTAACTCCTGGGTGAGAGTGGCATTTAGGGGTAACTTCAGGCTTTGGAACACGGTTCACCTGTTTCTCCCACGCCTGAATCCTGTGGTCTATGAGGGGGAGACGTGTCATCCACGAACCCCTTGGGGATTTGCTCAGTAAGCACTGACACCAACCCAAGTTCAAGTGAGGCTGTCTGCGTGGGAGGTAATTATTCATCTCTGTTTACATGGACATGCTTAGAGGTTTTATGCCTCATCCCCTATCAGATCACAAACTATCATGATAAGGATCACGGTTATGCAATCGCCATACAGTCCTCTGTTAAAATTGAGAGTGTGGCCGCCAGCAACCCGGGAGGCTCTCACAGAGCCTTTTTTCCACCTATTGATCTGTTGTTTCTCTGGCAACCTCGGTTCTCAGTAGAGATGGCTGGTGAACATGGAAAATCCAGTCTCATACTATCCCTTTGCCCTCTGGACTAAGTAGATGCCTGAGTGAAACAGACTATATACGCCAGCTTGAGTGGAAGCGATTCAACCCCCCACCAGTGAGGTCATGTTTTATCACCATGAAAGTAATTTCTGAGTTGTTGACAAACCAGGAAATGCTTGACCTAAGGTATCATCAAATACCACCTATCTGGGCCCAGGGGGTTCAAGAGGTTGACCACAGACCCAGCTGGGGGGCATTCCTCATATCAGATCAGTCACGAGAAAGCTGATCTTTCAGGCATTACAATCACGCCTTCGGGCACGTGTGGTGTGGAGACCTTTATAAAGAGCGTCCTCGCGGTGGGTGCCCCGAGGGACCCACGCGATTGCTGCCTGATCCGTGGCACCCGAAGCCCAGGCTGTATGTTTATAAGGTGCCACAGCGGCCCACTGCCCGTTTATGGAGGTTCACAGTGAGGATGTTCTCTATTGATAAAATACAGAAAAAGAGTCATACATCTTTTCGGGGGAGTCATGCATCTCGGGGTTTTTGTATGAAAAGCCCCAATAACCCCCCACTTTTGCTGCGTTCCACGGCCCTGTGGAAGTTGGGCTGTGAGGGCGGGCTGGCAAAGCAGCCGTGTCCAGACCCAGCTGGCACCAATCTCTGCGGAGGCCCCGTGAGAAGGGGGCCACGACTTCCTTTTCTTAGGTTTCCTAGCACCCTCTGCTCTAGGCCACCAGAGCTGCCCGTGGCCGTGGCCGTGGCCGACTAGTGGGCACGCACCTTCTGCTTCAGCTGCAGCACCGTCTGCTTCATCTGGTGGAACTCCTTGCACGTGGCACAGCAGGTCCCGGCTCTCACCGCGTTCTCGGTCTTCTCCTCATGCCCTGGGGAAGGAGACCGGCTCAGACCCCTCAGGAGGCTGGGAGACCTGGAGCCCCAGAATCGGGGTGAGGGAATTGGGGCGGGGGGCTCCGCACTCGGACACCAGCAGACAGGAACGTGCGCGGAACTGAAGTTGGTGATTTTACAGTTCTCAGGTTGCTGACAGCTCGCCCTGAGAGGGGAGGAGGGAGGGGGGCCCCGCGGTTCCCAGCTAGGCATCCCATGTCTGCCTCTTTCAAGTGTATACCACGGCGCTATTACCATGCCTCATCAGGGGCTGGGATCCAGCATCCTGACATGATTAATCCTCCCCTCAAAGGCCCATGTTTGTGCACTGTCAGTGACCCCCACGCTCAGGCACTGTGACTCCAGTGCAGGCCCCTGAAGCTGGTCTTTTATCACCTCTGGTCACCCACTGTCCAAAGGGAGTTGTCACTGTGACTGTGACCTTATCACCTAACACTTCTGCTCCAGCAGGTTCCGATTTTAAAGATGCAACATCACTGAGTAGCCACATGGGGGCGCAGAGCTCTAACTTTCCTGCTGTTGAGCAGGACACACATCTAGACATCAGAAATAGAATTCCTTAGATACCATATTGGTAATATTTAATACACTTAGAAAACCAAAGAATGTTCTCAACATATTTTACAGTGTCACAAGTGAACACAGAGTGTGTTTGTTTACACAAGGCGATTGTGCAGATTTATGTCCTGGTGCTCGTTCGCAGCACTGGAGGTCCAGTACAATCACTTGGGGTGCGTTTAAGACCCCCCTACTGGCCTAGCTGCGCCCCACCCACCTGGGGGTCACAGTCAGGGAACAGTATCAGTGTTTTTAAAGCTCATTCATCTATGTGTTAGTGGGGCTTGAGAGTCGTAGGAAGCACTTGGCTGGCCCTGACACTTTGAACCATTGTAAGGAGGTCTCGGTCACTTTATCAGAAAATAAACAAACGTCAAAAAATAAAGACCAGCACGCTAATTACTATGGAGCCAACATGTCCTTAATTTGTCTCCCCATCGGGGTTACTGGCTCCTTGGGAGACCTCGCCTGGCTCCAGCTACAGACTCTCAAAGACAAAATCAAAGTGGCCCATCAGCCAGATGGCAGGTCACCAGCCTGCGTGTGCCTTGGCCTTTCAGCTGTCAGAGGCCGGCTGTGCGGCCTTCAAATTCCTCTACCCAGCATATTACAGACACCGCATGATGCACAGTTAAAAGAAAAACAACAACGAGGACGGAGAGGTCTTAGATCACATGTGTTTACAGTCAATAATCATTATCTCTTAGTCAAAAAAAAGAAAAGACCGTGATGACGTATTGGCACCACAGATGAAACTGCCTCATTGCCTCTGACGCTGCTGATGCAGAGGCCCCTGGGGGCCTCCTTGTCTCTGAGCTGGTGTCTGGATGCACACGGTGCACCTTCCAGCTGTGGTCAGTGCAGCCTGCCGGCCAGGCGTGGACGCTGTGAGTCTGCGAGTCTCGGCTCTCGCTGAGATGGACGGCGAGGAAATGAGGGCTCAGGGGGCAGCTGACACGACTGATGAGGGAAAGATCTAAGATGGTAAAGGGTCTTCAGAGCGCAACGAGGGGCACAAGCCCCAGCCACCCCAGGTCTCAGCTGGCTAACCTGGAAGCAGCTCTCTCAACTTCCCAGTTCCCAGGGAACTTCCCATGGCATTGCAGCTGTCCAAGGAGCACATCTGGGTGCTTGCGCCTTACTGCAGCCAGCAAAGCCAGGCTGCCACTGTCTCAGTGGCCCCGTGTGACAGTTGTGACTTGCATGTTCAGGGCATGCCCGGGGCCTGTGCTTTCTCATTGTAATCACAAACATGAGGGACTCCTCTCAGCCCTTCTCCCCCCGATGTCCGTGATTACCGGCACTGGAATGTTTTCCTTAGTGAAACAGTGAAGCCAAACGCATGGCGTTTGCCGTTTGCATCCTCCATGCTCTGGCGGGCATCCAGAGGAGAACTGACACAGAAAATCACACACTGAGCTCTTTGGTAAGTGCTGCTGTTGGGGAGGGGCTTGTTGTTCCATAGGCAATGGGGATATTTCAGTTTTAGGGGAAAAAAGAATCTGGAGCTTGGAGAAGGGAAGAATTCAAAGTCCGGATTAATTTGTGCAGTAAGTTCTGTGTCACAGTGAAGCCTGATGATGCGCGCATGGCCAACAGAGAGGCCGTCCACCGCCGTCAATGTAAACAGGAACAAACTTGCTGCGAACCGGAGGAGCAGCGTCCTGCTTTCCTTCAGCAGTTGCTGTGCCGACGGCTCTCTCTGAGCGAGGGCTGTTGCGTCTGGTGATGACAACGGCAGCGCCTGGAAGTCGACCAGATGACCCGGCAAGTTCAGCCCTAGAGCTCAGGTCTTGGAGACACACAAGTCAGAATTTCCCAAATGGGATTCTGCTCAGGGCACCATCATCTATGAAAAGTTTGAAGAAAATAATTTGGGGAAGTGCAGGCTTCACCAAAATTAGCATTTTTTTTTTTTAAAGGAAGATCCTTCGCAGAACTGCTCATGGACTCAAGTCGTGAGTCCTCAGCAGTAGGTGCAGGAATGCATTCCTGCTCAAATGCAGCAGCTTCTAGAGAAAGAAAGGGTGACTGGCATCCCCTCCCTCCCCATCTCACTGGGCCAGCCCAGGACCCCAAGGTTCTGCAGAACACAATGCAGGGGAATGTTGTCATGCATGGCTGAGATAAAAAACCAAGTTTTTTAAATGAAAGTTAATACTGGAGAAGATGCAAAGCTGTTGTGAATTTATATCCTTTACGATGACAGATGCTCAGATTTTGCACTGAATTCTTGGCCTTGGCAGTCAAAGTGGTCATCACTGAAATCAAATTCTTTTTTTTTTTCTTTATGACAAATTTGCAGTTAAGTAGGCTCTGGATTTGCTCAGAGAAGCACAGAACTGGAGAGAAAGAATCAAATACATGGACAAACGGAGGAGCCAAAAAGGTAGACCACAGTCACAGGCTACCTGGCATGGGGTGTAGCTGAATAAGCAACTCCAAAAGCAAAAGAGAGTTCCCTTCTTGATGCTGGTTCTCAATGGCTGGCATCTTCGCCTCCCCGTGGCTAAGAGGCTGCACCCTATTTTTCAAGCGTGATTCTGAGAGGTGTTTTACCTCCTGCTCCTTCCCTATGTTCTCTACCATGGGGCAAAAAATGCAATCATCTTAACTTTGCATTAAAAAAAAATAAACGCGGCCTGCAAACATTTTTCTTACTTGACCCTTATGCCAGGAAACATAAAGACCATTCACTCTGCTGTCAGCACATTCTGGGTGGGCAGGACGACATGCTTCGGGCTTTAAAACACACCCACAAGCCCTCCTGGGCCGGAGCCTCAAGTGCCCACTCTGGAGCCGCTGCCAGCAGGCACTGCAGGGGCTTCTAACACGGGCGGCTTCCCCGGGCCCCACCCTGTTGCTCCTCAGAAGTTGGCTTTGTAGTTTTGCCTCGGGAGGCAGCTGGTCTCCAGCTGTGCACTATCCTCAGCTGAGCGCAACCAACTCCCCCCCCCATTTTTGCATCTCAGCCTACTCACAGAATCACCAGCTCCTGAGCACTCAGACAAGTCAAGCCTTCTCATCTTCCCTGATACTTGTGACGTGTCTGCAGAGTCTCTGTCCCCAGCCAGGGTGGGCCCCACCCAGGGGTGGCCCAAGGCTACCACAGTCTCTCCCCAGAGCCCTCCCCGCCCAGGAGGTAGGGCTGAGCCCTGAGCTGACAGGGATGGGGATGTCAGGGACCCCCAGGCTGCAAGGGTGGGGTGTGGGACACAGGGTCCTTCCCTCCTTCCCCCTCCCCCCACTTCCTCCTCCTCTTCCCTCCCTTCCAAACTTAAACCAGTAGCTCAGCTGATGATATCCCCATGACCCCAGGCGGATGACACCCAGGAGGAGACGGTCCAGCTGAATCAGATTGAAAGCATGTCAATCAGCTCTTTGATTTATGAAAACTTTCCTCCTTCGCAGCGGACTCTACTTGCAAAATATGGTAAAGATGAGTCACTAGAAAAACGGGCTCTGACATGCAAGCACCCCTCTCCGGATGGAGACCCAATTTCTTGGCCATGCTGATATAGAAATTTCTAAACATGCTCAACGTCTGTTTAGATCCGATCTCGAAGTTCGGTTCAGACATGGACCAGACTGGACAGATGGACAAGGGGCTGTGGACGGTGTTCAGGCAGCTCTGATGTGCACTCTTACCCCTATGGACATGTCTCCTGGTCACAGGAGCCCGGTTCCCTGGGGTGGGGGGGGCGTGTCTTGGCTCTCCCATTGCTCAACTGGTTTTGGTCTAAGTGTGACACTGGGTTCTGCAGATG